CTGTACAAGGTAGGTGTCTCAAGATGTCCGAATAATTATTTTACATACTGTACATCTAAACCATGATTTTTAACTTTTCGAAGTTTTAGCTACTCAACTAAAACTAGCACTGAAATATATGCATGCGATTAAAATATATAAATAATTATACATTAGTCTTGTTATATCTTCTTTTTTGCTGATATTGTTCACAGACATTTGACTGAAAAAATTTTACAAGAGAAATTTTTTCAAACAGGTAACGCATTGTAAAATCCGATACATATGAACATGCTCTTTATCATCTTCTATAATATATTGTAATTGATCGAATAATTTGTCAAACGTTTTTTTGAAAATTTTCGAAAGCAAATTTTCTTCACTATGTCGAATTTTCTTTTTCTGAATGTAATTATGCATCAAACACATTTCCGCAAACTGCCTTGTTCAGAACACCCTATATATTGTCAGTACTTGATGCATAAGCTAATTTAGCATCACTATCTACGGATTCTATATGTTTATCAAATAATTGTGCTACAAACCGTGTGGCCAATATTCCATATTGTTTTGAGATGACTTAAATTCAATGCAAACTATTTCCAATCTTTTTTATTTTTTCGTAACTGGCGCACGCTTAAAATAAAATTTGTCTTTAATGTAAAAGTTCATAGTTATGAGTACCAGTATTCGATATGGGTTAAAGTTTTATGCCCAACTCGACCCAACGTTAACTTTTTTTTAATCATGATCTTCTCAAGACGGATCCGCCTACGACACTGATAACTGCATTCCTGTGTCATTAAAACAGTCCTTATTCGTTCTTTCACGTTTGACTGCGTCAAAAAATACAAAAATCTACTAGAGCAAAGCATTCATACTAATCGTGAGAAAAGGCTATCTTTAAATAAAATTTTTTTTTTTCAACACCCTTTCATTGAAGAGAAATAGAAGCCGACATTTGTTGGATTACTTTTGCATCACATATTATATACGAAAACAATATCAACCTTGTACCTCATGAAAAAGTATTAAAGATACCATTAACAATTTATCCTCAGTTATTGTGCAACAACATAGATGGATTATGATGCAGTTGTATAAGTAGAATACAAACACAAGACTAATCTAATAAGGACTCAGGTATGATTCGTTGTTTTCATATATCTCTCTGATAATTCAATAGAATCTCAACAAACGATGAGGGTCTACAAGATTACTTTCCTAATCGAAAAAAACCTTTGATAACGAAATATATAGGGATAACAAGTAAATTATGAGCACACACTGAACATAGTTATTCGTCTTCATTTGGCATCCAAATTTTTTAGGTCTCTAGTTCTTGTAGTTTTTCGAAAAACAAAATTTGTTTTCGATCTGAATGAAATCTACAGAAATATCTCGTGCGGATGATGTTAAACATGTAAATGATATTGGATCTTTTGTAAACTTGTGTTATAGTGATATGTTTAAGAATTATCATCTGTAATCGAAAACAACTATGTTAAAAGTGTTTTCATTTACTTCAGTCTTTGTAAGATGTTTTAAATCTTTGTTAAGACATGCAAACTAAGTAATCGAGTATTTTCTAACCTTCAATATATAAATCGTGATATATTCTTCTTGTTATATGAATTATTGGTTCAAGATTTGACGTTACTTTCTCCTAACATGAGCACAGAGAGATACAGTTTATCGCAGTCTACCTGAATACGCCTTTTGATCAAGCTGAAAATTGTGCTTCGGCATGATAATAAGTTATAGTGATGAAACAGTAATGTTTTGTAGTGCGTATTACTATTCGTTTCGAATTCTAAAAAGGTTTTCTATAAGCTAAGGTGACACTGTTTACATATTTTTCAACAAAAAATGTTCGACAGGATATTTGAAATATGTTTGAAAAAATTAAGAAAGTTCTCTGAATGTAAGAATTGCACAATTTGCTCAACAATATGAACGAAAAATCAATCTGATGTTCTTGATAAGCACTAATAATTCTTTGTTACTAATAGATTTTTATTCACATCAAAGATTGATATGTTTCGCATGAAGCTTGCGGGTGAGAACAGGCAGAAACAGTCTCATAATTAAACACCAGCTTTAATGAAAAAGGAACTTCAATGTGATAGTCCGTTAGTGACCTGAAATTCTTTTATGCTATATTGTCGAAAGAAAGATATTCAGAAAATTTAAAACACTAATTTTTTAGATATAATTTTCAACCTTTTCGTTGTACGCTTTTTAATAGTTTTGAGCAGTTCTCACGTTCAGAAAGCTTTCTTAATTTTTCCAAACATATCTCAATTATCTTATCGAACATTCTTCGTTGAAAGATATGTAAACAGTATCACCTTAGCTTAAAAGAGTAGTAATACGCACTATAAAACATTGCTGTTTCATTACTATCACTTGTTATCATGCCAAAGTACAATTTCTCTATGTGCTGATTTCAGGAGAAAGTAACGTCAAATTGTGGACCAATATTTCACATAACAAGAAGCAGATATCACGATTTATACACTGGAAGATAGAAAATACTCGATTACCTAGTTTGCATGTCTTAACAAAGATTTAAAACATCTTACGAAGACTGAAGTAAATGAAAACACCTTTAAAATAGTTTTTTCGATTACAGATGATAATTCTTAAACATATCATTTACATGTTTAACATCATCCGCACGAGATATTCCTGTAGATTTCATTCAGATCGAAAACAAATTTTGTTTTTCGAAAAACTACAAGAACTAGAGACCTAAAAAATTTGGATGTCAAATGAAGACGAATAACTATGTTCAGTGTGTGCTCGTAAGTGATTTGTTATCCCTATATATTTCGTTATCAAAGGTTTTTTTTTCGATTAGGAAAGTAATCTGGTAGACCGTCATCTGTTGACACGAAAGTGATCAGAAGATCAGTTCTAATATCTCTAGAAGTTTTATTAAATTCAGAGATGACCACTCAGATGTGCTCTTTTTTCAAGGCGAATACATAACCACTCGTATCGACTTTGACTATCGAAGGTTGATCATCAACTTTGATAATAGACATATTTGTGAGGAGGATAACATTATTATTGTGTGAAACTCATATATATTATCAAAGAAAAACGTGAGTGTTATTTTTAAGTCGATGTTTTCCGACTTGCCACCTGCCCCCTTTCCTACCCCATTACAGACACTTCCTATGACATACCTAAACAACTAGTTTCAAATTTTTTTTTGAGTATTTTAGCTCATCGGAAATATGTGGCTACCACATTTTATCCCCAAAAGAGCAGTGCTAATAAGCTATTTTCGTTTCAGATTTTCTTCAGTCTAGGATTGGATTATTCATACATTGTATATTCTAAATTAATTTTCTAGATCACTGTTAGCTTTCTGTGAGTGGAAAAAATGGGTCCACAGATATCGAAAATAAATTTAAAAGTTATTGAATTGACTAGAACAGATGATTTAACATTCAATTCCGATATGATCGTATCAAGTAATGGCAAAGAAGATATGAACTTATTCATACCGATAAAACATGCTATTAGTACAAGGACAAGGCCGATCCTACTAGATAGTGATTGTTGCATGTATAACTCTGAAAATAAATTGACAAAACAAATTCAAAGTAATCTGTTGCTGTTATTAAATGCAACCGAAGAGACATCAATCAATAATGAAATTAATAATATACTTATGGAAGATATTTATAAATTCGTGGCTAATAATTATCGAAAAACAAAGAAAGATATTCAACATATTCTGAAAACTAAACAGCAGGTACAAAGAGCTTTAAATGAAAACTTGGACATTAATAAAAATGTTGATGAACTCGTTTTTACGATACCGTATACTGCTCTACATGCAGAGGAGGAAAAAGGGACGGAAGTCGGGACCACAACTAACGAGCAACAACAGGCTGAATTTCAATTTCAACAATGGTCCTTTTCTGGTTTACAAACGTTAATATCGATATTATTAATTCTGATAAGATCTAGTGAAAAGAATGATCCTACAATTGTTGATCAAGTTTTCACAATAGCAAGTCAGTTTTGTGAACGATTTCCGATGAAATATTTATGGTCATCCGGAATATCGCAAGCTACAAGGAATTTATTGTGGAAACCGTTGAAACCATTGACAAATTATATAAATGAATTGTATTTATCAGAAGATCAAATTGCGACAAAGCACGCTCTCAAAATTCTGTTAAGTATTTCAATTGCAAAAGCATCATTGAAAGACATTCTAAGTATATTGAGCAAGTTAATATTCGACAAAGACAATGTTTCTCATGTACGAGGCCTATTAATAAAAATGAATGATGGTATAACAGAAGTTATCAATGAAAGAGAAAAAAGAATGCATCAGGCAATCAGAAAAGAAACAAATGCCTGGACGTCATACTCAAGCGAAGATGAAGAAGAAGGTGAAGATGATAATGATGATGAAGATGATAATGATGAAGGTGAAGACGATGATGAAGATGAAGACGATGAAGATGAAAATGGAAGTGAAAATGACGAGGAATATGAGACTGTAGATGAAGATGAAAATGAAGACGAAGATAAGGACTCAGATTACGAACGAGAATACGGCGATAACACAACATTGAACGATACAGCAGGTTAGGGTACTGTTTAGTGGACCATATTGTATTGTAGCTAAGGTCGACATTGCTAAGAGAGCATGTAGGTGTAGATGTGAGTAATCTTTGGACATACACCCATACCTCCTTTTAGGGTTAGTTGTTTCACTCTAATACAGCATAAACTCAATGGGATATTCGTTGAAATTCTATCTGTTATAACATAGTGAACAGCTTCTTCATGCATATTTATTCTTATAAAACTTTATTTGTAGTCAACAGTAATGAATTAGCAACATCTATTAATGAAAGCACTACAGTATTTGATGATCGTCTCGAAACCACACTCAATAATCGTGGTCGATATGCTCGTTTGGGCAGCACAGGAAAATTCTACTGTGGTGATGCACTCGATGGACCACAGTGTAACTGCTGTGATGGTAAATGTGGACCGACAGGTGGCTGCAATTGCTCATCATGTATGTTACTTGATCTTCAGAAACGAGCATTACCCCGAGGATGGCTTGTCAACAGAGACGGTGCATCAGCAAGATGCAGTCGACAGATGCTAACAACATTCTATTGTGGTCGAAGAGTCATGCCAGATGACGGTACAAGTGATGGATATTGTGGCCCCACCAATGGACCACAATGTACAGCATGTCAAATATTGAACCAACAGCGTAGTGGTCGATATAACGAAATCTGGATTGGTATGTAATGCTCTAGATATGTTTTGCGTCGGAATTTCGTGAAATTTAAACAAAAGTTCTAGTCTTTTCACAGATGCAAAACATAAGGTGTATAAAAGTTAATCCTATTGATAACTGATCCGTTTAGTTTGACATGAACGTTATACGTCTTATAGCATAGTGAAGTATCAAAGGAACATAATAATAAAGAACGCTTCATAAATTCTCAAGACCGTTAGTAAAATGAAAACTACTTTACAAAGAAAAGTCTAGTGAAAAAAAGGGAAAGACGATTGTTGGTTTCCATATATTTAATCTGTTGCACGATTTTTGAAATGATGAAAACTGATTTCATGAAATTAGCATAATTTAGTCTTGCAACTTTGTGTCACCGTTATAAATAGAGCATCAAGTTCCACATCCAAGATCATAAATCGATTATCTCAAGAGTATTTCAACCGAAAGAAATCATAAAACTTATTTAAAGTAAACGAGAGAATGAATTCAAGGTCTTAAATCATAAACTGTGTTAAGGTCATCAAGTTTTAGCGTTTTTATTTTGTTTTTCTCTTCTTCATGTCAAGATGATTGCCATAGAGTTTCCATATAAAAAGCATAATCTATATCACAAAGGTTAATGACACAGTTAAAAACTTAGTGTCATGCATAATTCCACCTTGTTTGGCTAATATCGATGATTTTTTTGTATTTCATGTGAAAAATCGAGTTTCTATTGTATGTGTAGCAACGTAAAAAGCACAATCTATTACTTTGAAGAGATATTCAACCGAAAATATTCGATTTATATGTTATCTTTCGCATTTTGCTTTAAGTGTATTTTAGACTCTTCATGCTTATAGCTTTGTATCTTTCTTGAAAAGTTATAATCACTTTGAACATGCCAAAAAACTTGTTTCACGATTTCATCTGATATCCAGTTTATGATATATGTAGATGTCGGTCGAGTATCTCTACACAATTTGATTCAGTACTCTGACTCACGAATCTACTATGAGATTTGGTGATTTTCGAAGTAGAACTTATCCAATGCAGTTGAATAGATTGTTGCCGAACATTTTTCATCATTGTCATCGAGTTTGGACTACTGAAAGATGCAATCAGAAGTGTTATGTCATGAAAGTTGACTTGATGATAGTTATAAAAAAATCACGCTTCCGCTCTACAGGATGGGTGCAGGTGTGAGTGTGTTTCTTTCCCTCAAATCACTTAAACACCCATGCCCAAACCCACCCCACACCCACACCCTCAAAATGATGATAATCGATTGCGAACAGTTGATCGTCATATTCTTTTGGTCAGATTTTTATTATTACAAGACAATATTTTACTTATTAATGTGCCATTGAAAATATTCACATGAATATTGAAGATTCATTCAAAAAAAAATTCAGTTAGCAATAATTGTCTTTCTGCATATTAAATAATTTTGTGGTGCTCAAAGACTCAACATTCCTTTTTATATATGTTGATACTTGTGAGAAGCCGATGAAATTTTATTAAGATATAGGTAAATCTTATTCATGAGTATGTCCGATCGAACAATATCTGAAAGGAAGAGAATGAGTACAAACTGGGCAATTGATTTATACTGATTACAACTCGAACACTCGTTTGGATCATTGAAAACGATGAATGTTCATGTGACAATAATCAGTGCGATGAACACAAAAACAACTGAAAATTTCCTCGGATAGACGCAGTGTTAATGGGTAGTTAGAGCGAAAGCGTGATTTTTATATAACTATCATCAAGTCAACTTCCATGACATAACACTTCTGATTGCATCTTTCAGTAGTCCAAAGTCGATGACAATGATGAAAAATGTTCGGTAACAGTCTATTCAACTGCATTGGATAAGTTCTACTTCGAAAATCACCAAATCTCATAGTAGATTCGTGAGTCAGAGTACTGAATCAAATTGTGTAGAGATACTCGACCGACATCTACATATATCATAAACTGGATATCAGATGAAATCGTAAAACAAGTTTTTTGGCATTTTCAAAGTGATTATAACTTTTCAAGAAAGATACAAAGCTATAAGCATGAAGAGTCTAAAATACACTTAAAGCAAAATGCGAAAGATAACATGTAAATCGAATATTTTTGATCTCTTCAGAATAATAGGGCATTCTTCTCATGCCATGATCTATATATACATGTTGCATATAATTTGTTTTCAATTTTTGAGAAAATCATTTCAAAACAGAATTCAATTACGTAAAGGAACTTCTGAAAAAAATTGCTTCAATAGAAATACACAACATTGAAGCCATCTATTAATATAATATTGGCTCGTAGTCTAGAATCAGAATTAATTGGTTAAGGGTATTGGAATGAATCTTCATAAATATCTTTATTTCCTTTCATGTTCTGGTTTTTTGTTGTTGCTCATTGAAAGCGTACGAAACCTGCAATAAATTTTCAACATTCTTATGTCATTCATTCTTATATTCAATTCAGAGAAGAGTATGTCAATCAAAACTGAATTCTGTTTCAATGTCTATGTTGAGTTCTCACGACTGAAGATATATCATGCGTATGCCTTAGAGTACAACGTTGAATGAATTTAGTCAATAAACTTCTTTTTTTTCCTCTAACTCAAGCATTCTACATTTCATCATGTTCAACATGCCACATTAAAATACTCATCTAAGTAAGACAGACTATCATGATCGATAAAAGAGCAAATTAGGTAATGAATACCAATCTGATTCATAACTGCAGACAATAGACGATTAAAGTATGCAGCTGAATTTGTGTGAAAAAATGTAATTGCAAGTCAAGATTTTGGATGTCGAGGATCCTACTGATTTCTGAAACGTTATAGTTACTGAAAAATAAGTTTGGCTTATTTTGTGTAGAATACTACAGACAATAGGAAAACTATTGTAATTAATAGTTCAAAGCCACTTAAAATGATGTGTTTATATTTTGCCTAGTTAAATATTTACAAATTCAGAAAATTGATAGGTCTCCTTATTACATTTATTCTTATAAGCCTTCATTTTTAGTCAATAACAACGTATCGGCAACATCTACCGATGAAAGCACTACAGTATTTGATGATCGTCTCGAAAGAACACTTAATAATCGTGGTCGATATGCTCGTTTGGGCAGCACAGGAAAATTCTACTGTGGTGGTGCACTCGATGGATCGCAGTGTAGCTGCTGTAATGGTAAATGCGGACCAACGAATGGCTGCAATTGCTCATCATGTATGTTACTTGATGTTCAAAAACGAGTTCTGCCTCGAGAATGGCTTGTCAACAGAGACGGCGCACCAGCACGATGCAGTAGCTTGATACCGACGACATTCTATTGTGGTCGTAGGGTCATGCCAGATGACGGTACAAGTGATGGATATTGTGGTCCCACCAATGGACCACAATGTACAGCATGCCAAATATTGAACCAGCAACAACGTGATCGATACAAGCATATTTGGATTGGTTAGTAATATTCTAAACATATTTTTATTTAGGCTTAGAAACATGCATATTTCAGTATGCTTCTTCTAGTTGCAAAACAGCAGAACTTTTCAACTGTAAAATTCACGCTTAGTTGACTTGACTCTTTTATTGAAATGTAAACTACATAGATATGTTTAAACTCATTCAGGTATGAAAGTATTTAGTGTAGTCGAGTTCCTATTAATGTGTGAAACATTATGAATTTGTTTTATACACAATCAAAAATATTACTCATTTTGATCATATTATAATTTTAAGTCAGATAGAATAACATAATCCGTAGGTCATTGACGATCTATGAGGTCAATGGAGGAATGGCGATCGTCCACTTATTTCATTATATACGTTTCTTTTTAATGTGTCGATATTGATTGAGTAGAGCGGCAGGTGACGATTCAAACGACATTTTACTGTTATAGTTAATTAAAATGTATCCCGATTCCAATAATTACGAGCTTAACGAATCATTTTTATTTCTATTCATAATAACTACTTTACATGATCTTCTTGCGACTTGTGGCAATATTTGCGAACATAAAAATTTGATTTTCCTAGTCAATAACATACAAGCACAAGAAAACTTTTGTAAGCGACAGTTTTGAAGAAAAAAAACTATGTAGTATAATATGAGAAAATTCTTCACACTATCATGCACTATAAGCAAACCCTAAAAATATGCGTAATTATCAATGGTTGTAGATACAGTTTCCCGTGTTGAACGCTCTTTCTCATGGTCTATATAAAAGTTATTTATGATCTTATTTTGGTTCAAAAATAAAACATACTTCACTTGTCTAATGCGTTTTTCTTCTCTCGAATTATGTGTAATAGAAAATAATTTGTGTAGAACAAGAAAAAGATAAGATGAAGAATGAACAAAAGTGTTTATTTTACTCGTTAGTCTAAGTTCAAACAAATGTAATTGCACGAGAAAAACTTGTAAACCACAATACTTAGGTTTAAATGACTGAGCTTTTAAGAAACCTACGGTAAAGTTAAGACTATAGTTCATCGATGTTTTTATTGAATATAGATTGATGACACTCCTTAAATTACGCGCGGAATATTTATCTTAATACATCTCTTAGACTTGTATTCACATTCCTAATTATTCGCTTTAAAAACATAATATTCAGTTAATTACAGGTTTTACCACTTACGTATCTTATCTAATTTAACTAAAAGTATGCCTGTGTAATTGTCTACACCATTAAAAGGTTTTCTTTGCAAAAGTCGAGTAACAATTTAATAAAATATGTTAACAATGACTATCTATACTAGATTATTGTCTGAATGTTCGAATAAATTGTCAGATATGTGTAATGCCTATCTCAAATTTACTGAAGACGTATATATCATTCAAAAAAGGATTGACGTTTTTAGAGGAAAGAACATTGACATCATTGATTTATTTAAAAAGACTTGGCGTATATCCAAATACAGAACTGATGAAATTGAATGATCAACAATTTACTGGACAATTCATTTCTTCTATTATTCTGGCACATATTGACTTTCATAATGAAATTAATTCAATTGGACAATCTGAACATGACTTATTCAATTGCTCAATGTCATTTGAATTTCATCCAGATACTTTCAGATTGTTGTTTCAGATTATTGAACAATTAACAACATTGATAACGCAGACTTGGAATTCAGTTGTCGTTCATAATTTAGTTGTTTGCTTGCGATTATGTACAACACATTTGGAAATTTTACGTTCTTCAAACCCAAATCTTGACCAATATTTCTTGACCAAAAACGATGAGGTTACTGAAACAATTCAATCTTCTACAACATCTCTATCAAAAAGTCACCTCAATTTAACAGCATTTGCAACGGACGATCAATTACAAACATGGTTTGAAGCTTTGCTGAAACTAGTGTATATTGACAATGGAAAATCTGAGCAGTTGATCATATGTAGTCAAGCATCCAAGGCTCTTCTTTACGTTGTTGATGCTCGAACATCGTCATTCATAGAAAAGTTATCATTTATTCACAAACATATAATGGAAAATAAACATCCAATGTTTGTAGAACAATTATATAAAGAATTGACAAAGAACGTTGTCTTACTAAACTGGATTGAAACTTTATGTAAAGACAATGATAACCAGACAGAGCAAATTACAGCATTGAAAATACTTTATTCATTCATCGACAGTTACTTCAAACCATCAGACGAAATAAATAATGAGCAACAGCAACAACTAAAAAGAATACTGATGTCATTTCAACAACTTTTATTAGGGCGATTAGTATCGGTATCTAAATCGAAAACAAATCGTAACAAAGACTTTGATGATGGATTTCCGACAACAGCTGCTCCTAATACTGTATCATCCCTCGTAATTAAGTATATAACTTATATTTTAAGTAATTATATTCATAAACTAATAATTATGAATGATTTTTTCAATACAATGCTTGCGGGCTTGTGTCTAATGACAAAAACACATGAGATATTTGATTTTGAAATAATTCAACCCATATTCGCAACTACTATACCACTACTAGTAGAATATATATTTCAAAATATAAACAATGATGAATGGGAAAAGAATAATCTGCATTGTATTTGTTGGTTATTAAGCAAAATGTCTGTTATTATGATTGCTGGCTCACAACAAAATTTAGTAGAAAGGAAACATATCGATAAATTAAGATCATCCTTGTTTGCTGGTGGTTGTGAAAAAATAATAATAGAAAACAATAAATATCTATTGAATTTGTTCAAATCTCCTTTAGCTACTTACAGTCAATTTAAATTGACTGATGACATTGAAGAATCACCTTTCGATCGTGAATTTCTCATGTCAGTTTACAATAATACTAATGAAGGTTCACAATTAATATCAAAAATCAAAGAACATATGAAAGATAGACAACGTTTAGTACACAAATCGATTGAACAACAAGTAAATGACGCATTTGCCGCTGTATTTGCTGTTTATATTAAACATTATCGTCGAATTAATTTAGCTAAACACGAACTAGCTCAAACGGATAATAAAAGACCACATCATAAACTTTTATCGCTCTATGAATATGCCAATCATGTTCAAACATTGTTTGCCACAACAAAAGCACAAGGTGGCGACTGTAATGAACTTTACAAACAAATAAAAACGAATGCATTATTTCTTTTATCATCCGTTCAATCAGGTAATTCAGTTCCGATCATAAATGAAGACCTTCTACAATCAACGACAAGCACACATATAATGACAACAGTAGAATATAAAATAAAACCGTCATTTAAGCGGCAAGTCTCACGATGGACAACAGCGAAACGTGTCCTTCAATTGCTTCGAAATACAATGAATGCTTGTATACGATTTAAAAAGTTGATGTTAGCCAAAAAACAAGCTATTAGACAAAAATTAGACAATGAAAGTATCTTAAATCGAACAATTGATGCATATATTTATGGAGATCCTTACAAAACAATAACAAGTGAAGAAAAATCATTGGAATCGGACGAACTTATTCAATGTATGTCACGGCAGTATGAACGAGCAATGACAAGAATGATAACGTACCGATTTATTCAAATGTTTATTCAAAAAGTATTAAGTATTGAAAATCAAAGTCGAGCGTTAACTATCTTGTCTGTTTATTTACCATGCTTGAGAAATACAGACTTAGAATGGTTCTATTTAGAAAATATTAAAGCATCAACTTGCAATTTGAAAGAAAAAATTAGAAACAGTTATTATTCTATAATTAAAACTATTCTGTCCTATATATTACAATCGATCACCTCTAAACCAAAGCTCTTATGGCGAAATATGTTCAACGTGCTTAACTTATCATATGAGGCAGTTGATATTGAGTATTTATACCGTGATCAATTTGTATACACATTATTCACATTGTTTGTTAGCTTTATTGAAAAATCAGATTACACGAACGATGTTGGATTCTATATAAAATTGATTGGATACAATTGGTTTCGATTATTCGTATTAAAACTGAGTGAAATCATCGAATTGACAGAACAGAAAGGTGCCGACAATAAAGTTCTAAATGAACAACAGGAATTTGTTTTCAACACTTTGATTTTAAACGAACTGAAAGGACTAACACGAATAATACCAATTGATACAGAAAACGAAACTACTTGTTCTTTAACTTGTAAAAAGAATTCTTTAGATAATCTTGCTATTGGTTGGTTCATTAAAAGAGTAACAACAATTGAAGATGATACATCAAATGTTTCAAATGTTTTATCATTAAAATTTGATATTGAACTCTGTATAAATCAATGGTTGATACTTCTACTTCGTCTTGTCCATTTTTACGAACATGTTCAATCTGTATGTGCAACGATTGATTACATTGAACAGTTGCTGTACATCTATCATAACTATCAAAATAGTGTTACCGGTTTTCTCTCGTTGAAAATTTTACGTTACCTAATACCGAAGCATGCAAACGAAGAGTCAAGGAGTATTATTGAGACCTTTTTGACCGAAACTCTAGTTTACATTGGGAATAGTTTCGTTGTACAACAGATTCCATCATATATTATCACTGAACTGATCTACTTATATCGTACAGTGATGTCTGTAAAATCACCATGGCAGATGATGGCAACTGAGTTTATTTTCAACACTATTACATCAAGCAAGAATAATACTTATTTGAAATTACTCGAAATTGGTGACATGAATCAAATGAATTATTTGGTTGCATCTCTGTGTATATTGGGTGGATATATTCAACCTTTTTGTTTAGGTTCAATTGTAAAAATATATACTGATGAAGAAAGTAATGAATTTCAATTGGCGACTATCATAGAAACTGACAAGAATGCTAGTGATTCGGATATATCCGGTACGTCGACCTATTTGATTCAATATCTAGAAACGAATGAAATTGAATCAGTGACAATTGATGAGCTAGAAATCGAAACTGTTGTGCCGCCACCTAATCTACTTTTGTTAGCAAAAACAAACGAAACGAATGCTGCCATAAATGCAATTATCGATGCATTGGTATATTTCATACAAATCGATACGTCGACAAATGAATCTGTACCGTTATTACAACTGAAACGTCGCTCAGTAGCCGTTTTATTTCATATATTGAATGATAAAACTCTCGTCGAAGTATTCATGCAAAAACCATATGCACCCATTATTGTCAAATTATTCATATCTGATTCATTATCAAATAATTGTCGACAACTGTCTGATTTACGATTATTGAATAGACAACATTTGGAACAGTACTGTTTGAGTTTAGATGCATGTCTAAGCTTAAATGAAATCGTATACAACGATAATGGTAATAACAGTCAACTATTGCATGATGTGACAGTTTTAAATAGTAAGCATAAATTTTCTTCGCACGTTTGGAACAACAATGAAATTAGTCACAATCAATTAATTCTTAATGCACTATCAACGAACGTATTGAAATATAATGGTTGGAAACCATATGCATCACAAATTGAAATTGAATCGTTTAGAAGAGGTCGAATCGGAAGTAATGAACTTTCAGTTGTTCCAATGCCATTGGACATTAGTGACTTAAGTGTTTTCGAAGAATGTGGTAATAATCATAAATTCAAAGGACGAATTTCTCCAAGTCGTAAAAACACAAATGGACCATTTCCAACATACATTGTTGATAATATACAAGTAAGTGAAGGTAAATGGTATTATTGTGTTAAAATACTAGTTAATAACTATATTCAAATTGGATGGGCTACAAGTGAATTTGTACCCCAGCCAGATGATGCTCGTGGAATAGGTGACGACAAATATTCATGGTCATACGATGGATCACGAGGTACACTTTATAATAATGGAGAATTTCATTTCACTTCTGATGATATTCGATGGAAAGAAAATGATGTTTGTGGTTGTGGTATTGAAATTGATGGTGAGAATATTTGTATCAAATATTGGCTGAATGGAAACTATCTTGGTAAAGGTTTTGAACATCAATCAAATATCGCATCAACAACAACAATATGTAATATGTTACCAAATGGACGGCAAGGTACCATCTATTTTCCTGGTGTTTCTTTACAAGTTAGTTCTTATTCTAGTAGTCGTTGTGAGCTCATTTTTAGTCCAGAAGACATGACGGAATGCCCATTACCAAAAGGTTACAAACCATTATTGATGCCAAAATTAATCAATGTCGAAAATTCTATTGTCGCTTATCCTTACAGTGCTTATTTGATTGATGATCAAATTCAAAATAACTTTCATACACAACGAAGTACAACACCGACAACATTTTTGCGTGATTTTGTAAGCGAAGATCATCTTGAAACAGAATTTACTATTGATAATAATCAGCTAGTCCTACCAGAAAATAGTAATGGTTTGCCACTTTCGATCGATAATCATGCGTCATCATTGACAATCAGTTTTGATTTTAAAACTTTAAAAAAAGTTGAAAACGATGCTAACACAAAATTAGATATTCTGTTATTTACACTAGAAACTATAGAAATATTCTCAGTACAAATCTCAATAAGCAAAATAGAAAACGAAATACGAACTGCAATCATAGTCAATCCGAACGAACAACAAATGATAATTTACTTCAATAATGAATGTCGAAAATTTCATATTGCTTTTGAAACTTCAACAATGGCGAAACTAAATTTTCATATATTACCTAATATTGCCGTTGGAATAAAAAATCTTGGCATTTGGAAATATGCTCTTTCGGAAGAACATATTCAGCGTCTATTTACCTATGGTTTATTCTATGTAGCAATCGATTATCAACAGTTGAAAGAACATCGAACACAAGCGAACACTATCACGTTCAGTAAGAATCAACAACAATTTTCGAGTCAATTACTTATTCCGTTTAATGAACCATTCGAAAAGAACATATGGGAGAAAAAGAAGAAACAAGTTGACATTGATGAATCCATATATTTTAGAACAATTGCTGGAACTGATGAATCTGTCGTACAATTATTTGGAAACAAAACATATCTCGTTCTAGATAAATCCGCTGATCAAGGCTGTGAATATGCACTTATTCTCGACATTTGCATACCTAATTGGCCAACGAATAATGAACAATTGACACTATTGAGATTGAATACACAATCAGAAATTTATATTACACATAATGGTAAAATTGTTCTATCTAGTAATGCAATACAAAACAAAAGTGATTCAACATTGAAATTGAATGAATATTTCCGTTTGCATATATCGTTTCAAAAGAAAGTTGTCAAAATCTATGTAAATGGAATACTGGAACTAAGTGTCAATGTCAATGAGGACCAATTCATGGCAAAAGCTAAACGAATTGAACTGTTTCGAGAAGTGGATTTAGGAAAGAATACGACTAATGATGATAGACTTCGAATTGAATGTAAATCGATCACATTTTTAAATGATTTAATAGCAGATGCAGATAATCGTGAAGAAATGAAATCAACAAAATATTCATTAGAAACTTTGGTTGCACCACCCTTTTCTATAGTTGCATTAAATTTAGTTGCCATTGGATATAAAGAATCATGGATAAAATACGCTATGAAAGAATACAATACGAGTAATATTCAATGGATTGATACAATTATACGCGAGAAAAAAGAAGAATTCATGAAGAACGAAGCTCAAAATCGACAAAAACGTTATTTCAATATTTTGTCGAGATTAAATCCATCGATTGATAGAGAAAAAATGGAAGATCTGCTTGCGTTCTCAAAATTTGATACTGACGAACAAGTGACAGCTGCTTATAAACTCGTGCTACTGCATTGTCACGATCTACAGACATCGAAATCGTTGTTGAAGACGTATGAAACGAAAGAAAATGTACTGAATTTCAGTGAAAATGAAACTTCATTGTCAAGCGAAAAATGGTACTATCAAACTATTCGTGGTTTAGATGTCAATGATCATCTCGACGAATGGATTCAAGGTAAAACAACAATGATTCGAGCAGAAGATCTCACTTGTCAATTATTCGATTTGACAAAATCTGAACAAGAATTAACAACAATGACTTCATTTGCAGGTAGTCAACAAAAAAAGATTAAAAAATCAATTCAATATTCACATCGACAAATTTCACAACAAAAATACATGAACTTGCGTGTTGCATGTGAACACGGATTGACAATGATGTATGCACGTTATACTGTTTGCAATATGTTAAAACTTTGGTCACCTTATAGTTCAAATAAATTTCCATGGGAAAAATTTGGTGATTGTGCACTTATAACTAGGCTGTTACGTTTGATGGATTACCATTACATGTATACAAATACGAACATAGATGAAAATGTTGATATCATGAGTTTATTAACGAATTCGATTCTCAAAGCTGAAATACAAGAATTATTAAAATATTCTAGCAATTACAATGAAATTAATACTGAAATTTTACATCGAGAAGCTCCCTTAATCTATCAATTGCAAAAGGATATTACTATTCAATTGATCCAATTTTTGTTTGACCCATTATTATTATTATATGATTGGGATAATGAGACAAAGAGTATTGACGAAAGAACACTGATCAAACAATCAAGCTTAAATTTTGTTTTGAAAATATTGAATCTATTTGTTGCTGTGGCAACTGATAAATCGGCGATGAAACATCGCGACATCGATTCACTTATTCCAGTTCTATTCCCTGTAACATTAATCAATCTGTTGTTTGATCTATTTTTGATTAGTCCAACGCATCAATTAAAAATATTCATTCTACATCTCTTTTCTACGTAAGTAAAATCAATGACAGAACCCAGTAAAACTTCTCATTGTGAGTGGTTCTTTGTTGATCTCGATGACAAGAGTGTAAATGAGATAGGAGCACTGAAGTTTCACTGAAAGTTACGAATCAAGCTGTTGACTACCGCTATCAAATACAATTTTCGAATCCTTCAATTTAAAAATCTCATTAATTTGACTTCCTTTCTCAAAGTCTAAACTTTGAAATCGGATCGAATCATAGACGAGATAGAATATTTTAAAAGATTGTTTTGTTGCTGATAGTAGTCGACTGTAAGAACAACTTTCTATCTTAGATCATTCTTGAACTACTGATCAGAATTTTTATAAATCGAAAGGCAACAAGATGGGATACTATCAATCAGAGCTATACTAGGCGTTCTAAAAATGACAATAATTCTATTTTTCTTTTATTTAATAGGTTACTTGATGCAAGCAAAAATTTCAATTTAAACGAACAAATTCAAAATTTCTTATTTCAGTTATTCATTGAAATCTCAGCCAAAACTAATTTAATTAGTAACCCAACAATAAAAAGGTTACAAAATAATCTCATGAATTTAGTATTTTTGTTATCTGAGAGACAAAAATATCAACAAAATACAACAAATGTAAAAAACGATGTCAATCAACAATTAAGATTCAATTTATTACAATGTCCACAAATTTTTCGTGATATACTGACAATAATCGATGTTATCAATGTGTTAATAGATAAAAAGAAGCAAGCACAATTTCCTGAAGTTGTTTTTCAGATAACGGATGAGGATGAAGATGAATATCTGAAATTCACTCGAGACGACGTCGAAAAATCGAACGGCCATTTCGATACGATAGCTGATCAACAATTGATTAGTTTCATGAACAAGCAATTGTTAGTCAACGATTCCTTCAAAAATTTTATTCAAAGTCTATCTATCGAAGACATGTCTCATGCAACATTCTATAAAACTTACTCATCTCTATCAAACATTCCAGCTGTCTGCATAATAACTCGTGCAAAACTATTGTATCGATTAAGTATGCTTATTGAAAAAGTTGTGCCATTTCTCGATTTTACTTTATCACCGAGACAAAGTATTCTCACCGATAAAATTCGTGCACATAAAATGTATTTATTTCACTCAACCAAGCTTCATTGGTTTCATCAATCCTTACAAAAAACTGTAGTGAGATCGTCGCAAGAAATTCCTTCTGTTGAGTTTGATACAGTGGAAGCTAGTAATGTTGATGATAAGGACGAAGCTACTATGTTTCACCAAGCTTATGATCAATTACATCAAAATGCGCATGTATTATTTCGAAGAGAAGAGGAACAACTTTGGCAGGCGCAATACATTGGAATGCATAGTACAGATCAAGGTGGACCTTATCGAGATTCTATAACACGCATTTGTTCGGACATATGTAGTACACAACTGCCATTGTTTATTTTATGTCCAAACGGGCGAACACAAACTGGTTTGAATCGTGATCGTTGGATTCCAAATGTATTTCCACCGAATAAATCAATTTCGACTAAAGTGAAAAATCAATATCGTTTCATTGGACAATTGATGGGCATGGCAATACGTCGAAAACATTACTTGGATTTAAAATTTCCCAGTCTGCTATGGAAACAATTGGTGCAAGAAAAAGTAACTATGGAAGATATTGAAGCAATTGATATGCAAAGTTTTACAATTGTTAATGAAATGGAAAAAACTTTAAAACGAAATCAGTCGATAGATACCGATAGTGACATCAATTATTTACTTAGTAGTATTATGAGTGAACTACGTTTTGATATTGTAAGTTCAGCTGGACAAACTTATGAACTCATTCCCGGTGGTGCAGAAATTCCGATTACTTCTGATAATTTAAAACAATATTGTGCATACTATTGTGCATATCGTCTAAATGAATTTCATCGACAAATTGAATTTATTCGTCAAGGCTTGTATAGTATTGTACCAAGCTATTATTTAAGTTTATTTACAGCTAGTAACCTTGAAGAAGCCGTATGTGGAAAAGGGCAAATTGATATTGAATTATTGAAGAGGAACACGAATTATAATCATGTAAGTGCAGATGCACCATATATTCAACGATTTTGGACAGTTCTAAGTGAATTATTCGATGAAGATCAAAGAAAATTATTCTTGATATTTGTTTGGGGAAGAAGTATATTGCCAAGTAAAGATGAAGAATTTACATCGAAATTCAATATTAATCCATATTATCTAAGCAATGATGAAGTGGATAAAGCGCTTCCACGTAAGTAGAGTTTACATTTTCATATCTGCAAAACGACAAAAAAATATACTTCATAGTTTTTCAAGTGAAATTTAAAAATTAAAAAGAAAATCTAATGCGTAAAGTTGCAGAAAATTAACAAATTTTGTCACATAGTTTTTCTCGGCTAAAATGGCAATTTTTATTGTACACATTTTTCTGAGGGCTGTCATCCTGTTAACGAGGCAGTATTCTTCTCAAACAATTATTTTTGTTTTTCATATTTCCCAAGTCTGAAAGAATTTTCATGCGAGAAAAACTTATCCATACGATGACACGATTTCTATCAATTACCTTCTATTAATTTATGAGGTAGATAAGAACGTCAGAATTCACAGACACAAAACTTGAGTCGTAAATAGTTGAAACTTCGAATATTCAAAATGAAATCTAAATACTCGTTGTTCACCAGACTTTCTGGAAATTTTCTCAAAACTTGAAGTTTTTTTAAAAGTGCATTTTATTTTACTTTTACAGTGATCAGTACTTTTTCAAATTAAGCTTAATTCCTTGATCGTATGTATCTCGTTCGAGAGAACTCACTAAGTTATCTAAGAAAAAAAAAATTACCTTTTGGAATTTAGCAGCCATTGTTAATAAACGTTTTCAGAAGATAATTTCTTCGAAAATTTACAAAGATGAGAAATGTCATCTCTATAGAATTTTTCATTAAAGATTCAAATGAAAAAAGAATTCAGATTCGAAATCATTGCTCAAAATTGCGTTCATGAATTAGATTAGGTTCTTGACTATTTTGCTAGAAAATGTCACTTTGATATTAGCAAGAAAGTAATCAAAAACTTTAAACTATAATTCCCCTTTTTTATTATTTCATTCTTGTAATCCAATTTTTGATAGTGATTTGAAGATCATTCTTCTTTTGTAATCGGAATATTTTTTATAGCATATCTCATCAAAATCTGTCTTTATATCTTCACGTATTTTGGAATAAATTTTTCTCGACGTCGAGATATACCAATTTCAATACCAATGCTTGATTCGAAATCAGTCGAAAATGGAATTGATGAGAATTGCTTTTTTCTTGCAGAATTACTCATTTTCCACATATATTCATTTATATTAATAACACGATTCTAATTTTTTCTTAAGATCAATTTTAACCGATTCTAGAAATCTCTATTTTCACGTAACTCATAGACTTTCGCTAATAGATGAAGTGAAAGGGGAGGCAGAGGGTATTGGATGACCTCTTTCAGAAATATTCAATAGAAATTCAATTGCATTATGTAATAGAAATTTACTGTTAGGAGAAGACCTGAACTTTTTGAAGAGTCTCAACCGTGCCGCATCCTTACACTTCCTCCTCTGGCACCACAACTATACTTTAACGAAATCTATTGAAGTGGATAGATAGGAACAAGAAATTAAGTTTCCATAAAAAACGTTACAGTCTGCAACAGATTATCGTTTTCATATTTTCAACTCTCAAAAAGAAAAAAAACTCCATCCCTTAAACTTTTACAAAAACAATCTATCTTCCATGAGTTATGATAGTTTGGTGTGTATATAAATGAGCGGATGCTGCCAGACGTTGCCAACCATTATTATATCTTCAAATCAACTCAAGAATCTCGGATTGTATACATAGCTATTTATAGAGTAGACAGCATGATGCTAAGATTTAGCTTTGATAATTTTGCAGTAAGTCAAACATGAGAGACCACCAATTAATAGTTCCTTCCTCGTCCAGAATAGAAGAGTATGTCTTCTTTACATAACAATTTGCGTTGATGGTTCTGAAATGGCCACTGTTGTGAACTACGTTTTCGTCCACTTGAATCTTAAAAACGGACATTTTCGAAGGAACTTTTCTAAAGTTAACTAGAGGTCTTTCCTATCCTAATAAATAAATCATGAGATTCATTCGTTTTAGGTTCACATACATGTTTTTTCACCATTGATTTACCTGCATATTCGACGACTGAAATTATGTACGAACGTTTGAACTACGCTATTAACAATTGTTCAAGCATCGATGGTGATGGCAATATGATTGAAACTATTGATCCAAGAGATTTCATGTCTGATGTCAGTTCAGAAGACTAAATATGGATGATTTGACTCTTGTGTCTAAAATATAACTACTTTTTTAATCAAGATAAAATGATGGCCAGTTACTCACAAATAATAATCTGTTTTTTTTGCATTTTCGCTGCTGTTGCTAATTAAAAGACGATCATAGATCTTCATTTACACGCTCCAAAAAATTGTATCGAAGACCATGTGTGTAGATTCTAGAATTGAGAACATGTGATCGGTGACAGAACAAGAGCATATAGATATTCGAGTGAATGAGCATGTGTGTATGTATTTGATTGTGATTGTCTACAGCACTCACACCTAATATTCTGACTCATTGAAGCTGAAACGTTCGGGATAAATTTAATGATGTGCTACTGTTAGTTGACGTTTTTCGCCTCTTGCATCGTTTCTTGTTTTTTTTCCGGATGATTTATTTCTTACTTTTAAAGCACAATAACGCTTTCCGTCTCGTTTCCATCTTCTTTGCCTATTCCTTTTTGTGTTTTTTTAAAGTTCTTTCGAAATGTGTACTCTGTTGAGAAAGACTTCACATGACAACAGTAAAACACTCACGAGAAGAATGATGGCCAAGAAGAAAAATTCATACTTATTCAATTAAATTTCTGTCGAATAGAGTACACCAATCGATAATCGTTTCTGCATTTAAGATGGTTGGAACCCAGGATTACTAGATCTTTCAAGATGAGAGTGGATATTCTAAATTTTATATATTTTCCTGTTTATTTTCGACTTCTCGAATTTCGAGTTATTTTTAATTATTTTTCGAGTTGTTTTAGTTGGCTAAACTCGAGCTTTTATGAGTTTGATTCTGACTGCAACATTGAATTTTTTCAGCAACTAAGACATTTTTGTTGTGCTACTATTATCATTATATGGTATAGAGCTTTGAGACTAATAATAACCTGCTTCATCAGTATAAACTGACACTTGTGTTTAAGAAGGAATTTCTCACATAATAATTCTAACTTGTTAAGTTGAACTAGATTCAGCCGTGAATGAAGAGTTCGAGGATTCCCATGTAATAGTTGAGACCAAAAAAAGTCACTAATAAGTCAACATTTTTAAGTAACTATTAGTATACTTATAAGTAGAAAGTACTTTTTATTACTTTGAAAATTACTATAAAGTACATATGTTACTACACTTGCAAAGTATTTGAGCTACTTTAGTAATAATTCCTGCAATAGTATAGTACAGAAAGTACTTTATAGTAACTGCTTTGAAGCTCAACTTTTACATTGGTACTTAAACTCGCATAGTACTTTCTATTACTTACATAGTCATACTAATTTTTATTACTTATATTCTCGTAGTACTTTTTGTTACTTACTTCTTTATAGTACTCTTTATTACTTACGTTCTCGTAGTACTTGCTAATACTTACTTCTTCGCAGTAATTTTTATTACTTACCATAGTATTTTTTAGTATGAAGTCTATTTATTTAGTTACCCAAGGCTAGATTCGAACTTTTCAGGTTAAGTCCTTACTTTTTTCAATTTCTCCGACTTTGAAAACAGGTATACAACCATATATGCTTAGAACTGCCTTATAAACTGAACCGATGTAAAAGTGTGCAATGACAACTTAAAAGTACTATTTCAAATACTTCAAAATACTTTTTTATATACCTTAACACACCGATTTCTTCGCGAAAGTACTGTTTAGTACTTTTCTATATTGCTATATTAAAATTAGTTTCCCAAGCCACATTTAGCAGCAATTTTCTTTCTCGGAGCTTAAGGTGACTTTAATATTGAGTTTTCGATGCGATTTTTCTGTGCCACTGAAGCAAAGTCACTCTTTATATGAAGTCAATCTAGCGAGTAAGCGAATGCGCATTCAACAGGGTTTTCTAGTCATGCAATAAAATAAGTCCTTAAAAAACAATAAAAAAATCACTAAACAGCACTATTGTTAAAGTAAGACTAATATCTAATGTACCTGGCAAAATAGTTGCGAAGTAGTATGGAGCACTTGTTGGAGAAGTTAATTTTTCTACTCAGGAAGCATAGTTTTACGAATCAACAGTTTTGAGAAAATATGAACAGAAGAACTATTTTTCCATTGTAACTGTCAAAATATAAATTTTCATTCAAACATTTGCTACTTAGTTTTACATGGGATGTGGGTGTCAGTTTGTAGGTAATTCTGCGTCTGTAGGTGGGTTTGAATATTGAGGGTATGGAATAATCTAGCCTACAACTAAGCTTACAGTTTTCACCACTCAGAGACCAAGTTGAACCGATTTTTACTCATTCGAGTTCAGCTCGGTTCGTCTATATTTTTCTTAAACGTTCCAAACTCGGTTTGGTTCGTTGTTGGACTCGGGTCAATAATAATGACGATTTCAAATGCTTGTCTATTCAAAGCTGTCTAAAGAAGGATTTCTATATTCAACTGATAAAAACTATTGATGTTGTTTAGAATTGTGCCTATTTCAAGAACCAAAGCAGAAAGCGTCACTTCATATGCTCTCGAAATCTGGTTTGCAATCCATGAAGTAAATGCACATTGTAGCATGTTTATTTATTACCATCTTATGAGCTTTTTTAATGAAACAAAAATCTATTCTACTTTTATTTAAGCCAGAGAAAAACTGAGTTTCAAGCATCGCAATATTTAGAGGGTGTAGGTGTGGATGTGAGGATGTGGATTTGGGCGTGGGTGTGGGTGTGGATATGAGTCAAAAGAGGATGAACATTCATGCCGACACCTACACACCCACACTCATACCCGGACCCACACACCCCACACCCGCATCCACACCCACACCCTAAAAGGTTTAAAGATTGAAATATGGATTCGATAATATCGATATGATCAAATAAATAATGATTCACTCGTTATTATCGATAATCCGGACAGCCTTCTCTTCTTTTTTCTGTCTATTAGCTTTTGAATTAGTTGTAAAAAATGACACTTTCT